TCCCTTACTTAAAAAGTAGGGAAAGAGCGAATATGAAGATAGGAGACGAAAAATTAGAAGAAGTTGCTAATTTTAGGTATCTAGGAAGTTAGATAAGTCAGGACGGAAGGAGTAGTAGGGATATAAAGTAGAGGATAGCACAGGGTCGAGTCGCCTTCAATAAAAAGAAGTCACTTCTATGCTCGCGAACGATTAATTTAGAAATTCGAAAAAGATTGTTAAAGGTGTATGTTTGGAGCGCGGCGCTGTACGGGTGCAAAACATGGGCTATGGGCGCAGCGGAAAAGGAAAGGTTAGAAGCGTTTAAAATGTGGTGTTACCGGCGAATGATGAGGAAACCGTGGTTAGAGAAAGCTAGAAATTAAGAGGTATTAGAAAGAATGGGAGAACAGATGTCTCTATGGAAATCAATAAGAAATAGGCGAGATAGATTGGTAGGACACCTTCTAGAGCATGAAGGTCTAATTAGAGACATATTAGAGACACAAACAGAAGTTTAGAGAAGTAGAGGTAGAACTAGATTAGATGACTGTTCCAAAATTGTTAAGGATGTTATAGTTTAAGATAGATGTGAATATTAGCTCAGGATAGGAAGGAGTAGAGATGCGTTTCCAACCACTCTTAGGACTGATGTCCTTGTGATGATAATAATGTTTTAAAATCTTACTTTAGAGGCTAAACTTGAATGTTAGTTTAAAAATTCAAAAGGGATCGTTAAATGTGCATGTTTGGAGTACGTGGACGATGGGGTAGACCAGAGATCAGCAAACTTGTAAACTGGAAGAGCTTGTTCTTTATTAAGTTCATATGAAGAGAAAACTTTCTCGTATGAATGTGTTGATTCAAAAATTGTCAGTACACCAAAAGTCAGTTTTTTATTTGGTCATAGCCGGAAGGTTATTTCAGATATCGAAAATTAGTGCTTCAGGCTTAGACAGCCCTTTTAGAGCTGTTCACTACTGCTGCGATATTAAAAAAACATTTCTGCCTTTCCAGCCTTTCTAAGATACTACTTAGACTCGTAAATTTTAAATGAACCATCATTGATATTAAATAGAGTAAAATTTAGTTATTTGCTGTTTGCTTTGAGAAGATTTGCAATGAAAGCCAAGATAGACTTATTTATTTTGAACAGATCAAATCGTGCAGCAAATTCATTCTTCATTGTTTTGATCGTTCTTGTGAAGTAATCATCATTGTCAATAGAATTCCATTCCGATGATTCCTTAAGATTTGGAATTGTAGTAATGTGCTCAACTCTATATCTTTTGCCAAAAGAAGCAAATTATTTTCAAAACTAGCTACTAAATATGAAAACCTTAAATTTTCCAAATTAAAAAAAATTATTGTCAAAAATTTTGATAAATGAATTAATACGTAGGTACATTTGTGTTAGTACAAATTTAACAATAATTAGTGCTGTGACGTTCATAATTACCAACGATTAATAAACAATTTTCTGGCAATTAATATAAACTTATATGTCTTTATACTACACAGCAAGGTGAGCTCCGTTTTTTTTTTGCAGTAACAAGAGAATAAAAATTTACGACTTAATTGTGGTTGTAAAGTACGATTTAGATGACGTCATACTGTTAAAATATTCCAAAGGAGCTTGGTGTAATTCAGTATGCATATGTACAAGTATACAAGCGATACTGAACCTAAAATATATGTTTTAGTTATGTTACATAGTTTATTTTAAGTCAAGCGTTCTTTGTTTCTACCCTTCAACAATCTTTCCTTTTGTCCAACGTACTGGCAAGAATATTTTCTGCCTGCAACCACGTCTACAATAAAATAACTTCAGTTCTAATAAATTACGAGAAACTTTAGACTTTTAAATGAATTCTAGATACAATTGATAGTTATGCAACGTAGTAGTATGTATTTATTTTGTTTCTTTTGATTTTCAGAAAGAAAAAATGGATTCAGTATCAAAACCAATTTTACAATACCCAGACATTCGCAACAGGGTAGCCTCCGTTTTCAATGACAAAACGTTATTTATAACGGGAGGAACGGGATTTATGGGAAAAGTATTGATTGAAAAGCTTCTCAGGTCTTGCACAGGAATTAAAAAGATCTATCTACTAGTCAGGGAAAAAAAAGGAAAGAACCCTCAAGAAAGAGTTAAACAAATGTACGAAGGAGCTGTAAGTTATATTATGACACATCTATCAAATTGTATAGGTATTTTTACTACGTAGATAAGTAATTAATATAGTTTATGCTTTATTTTTATAAATTTCATTCCATTTGTTGCATCGTTTGGAGCCAAACATCATTAAGTCAATTGTCTAGAGAGAATTGACGAGTTTACAATGACCAAAAGCATTATTCAACTTTAGAGTACTTTATATATGTTTTGTATGGCTAAACTTAATGGCAGTAAAAGACTCAAAAGTTGCATCCGCTTTTGTCACAATGTCTTTTTGACAACTAATTGATGCTCTTCATTTTATCGATGATGTGTTTTCTTCCGGGCTTTTTGGCCGTGGTCCATGGAATTTTACTGGGCAGGTTCAGCACCTGCCCAGTCACCACTGAAGATGCCGTCAGCAAAGAACGGCGAAACGTCTGGAAAAGTAAAATTCCATGGACCACGGCCAAAAGCCCGGAAGAAAACACAGCATCGATAGACGCCGGCTGTGAAAGCCTAAGAACTTCTTCATTTTAGTTGTTCGGAAAGCTAAGAGAAGCTCAGGGAAACATCGCTTTTAATAAATTAGAAGCAATAAGTGGTGACGTGACGGATCTGAATTTGGGCATTTCGGAAAAAGACAGGAAAAAGTTAACAGAAGAAGTTGAAATCGTTTACCACTGTGCTGCAACAATAAGATTCGACGTCCATTTGAAACAGGCGATTATTATTAATGTCAGGGGTACCAAGTACATGTTGGACTTGGCCAAAGAAATGAAAAAACTAAAGGTAAAGAAAAATAAAACATTTTATAGAACATCGTTAAAATTAATGTGGTGTTACGTAGCTGTTTGTCCACGTTTCCACAGCTTACTGTCATCTCCAAGAAAAAGTATTGTACGAAAAATCTTATCCTCCACCTGCAGACCCTAACATAATGATCAAGTTGGCTGAATGGCTAAATGAAGACATTATAGGTTCAATCCAAGACAAGTATGTTCTTATAATGAAATAAACATACGATATCATCAAGCGAAGCTAATCATTAATGATGCTTTTAGGGTTTTGGGAAATTATCCCAACACTTACGCTTATACCAAAGCTTTAGGTGAAGGCTTAGTGGACCAAGAAATTGGTAAACTACCCGTTACAATATTAAGACCATCTGTTGGTAAGTATATAATTTATTTATTCAGAAAACATCCGATTTTACTACTTAATTATCGGTTAACCTCATAATAAAAATGACCTAGCGCCAGAAATTTTTAAGTACATTCCATACAATTGACTCAATGTTAAAGTACGTTGCATGTACCCAAATTTATATAATTTAGTAGACATGGTGCAATAATTACAAGATGTAGTAATAAACACCAAATTATAAACTTTGACCTTCGTAATTTCCAAATATATCTACCTATGCTCACTTACTTTCTTCAACGGAACTTCAAAGAATACGGAAAGTAGATTTTACATTCTGCTATCACATTCATCGTTATTATCCTTGAGTAATGGGTCGAGAAGATTTATTTTAATAAATCAGAAAACTATTTCAGAAAATTTAGCAAAAATTTCAGTGAGTCAGTCGTAACCTAGTTTCGGTTTTAACGAACTAATATTCCTTTGTAAAATGTAGTTTTAAATTTTATATATTTCAAGCCTTCGACAAACTGTGGTGGTTATATAGAGAAACAATTCTCTATAAAAAAACAGATTCAAATAAAATTGACTGACTATTTTAGAATGGAAAATGTATTAGACTAGCGATCCGCCCCGGCTTCGCACGGGTGCAATGCTGATACTAAATATACTACAGAATGTCTTTATTTATATACAACATTCACATTTTTTTTGTCATTAGACAATACAAACCGGCCGGTACCGCTGCAATCGCGATGTCCCTGCATTTTAAGTTTGTAATATCTTCGAAAATATTCTTTTAAATTACATGCTGTAAGGGCCATATTGATCTATATTAAATGCACAATGTATTTAAAAGTATTTAATTGGATAAGGATTGATGCTGTATTTCTTAAAATCGCTTCGTAAATAAGCCATTATTTCTCATAAAAAGTAAAGGATAAAAAATGGTTATTGTGGGTTGTCCCTAAGAGATAGACATATACTATCGCGGACTTTCTTGTAGACCTTTTTACGGTGTACAATACTGTAGTACATTATTTTGATCTATCTCGTAATGTTCAGCCAGTGTTTGCAATATAAGCGCAAAAAAATGTGTTTATTTACATCAAATTAGAAACCTCTAAAATTATNGATGTACAGAATCTGTGGTGACTCGTACTCAGAATTGTATTGATGCTGTAGGTCACCAATTTGAACAGTATTAACATTTGTTATTTATGTTTCATTTACATTGGACTTTCAGCTTTCTATTTTCCTGAAATTTAACTTTGTAGAACGGTAAATAAATTTTCTATGGAAGTTCAAAGTGTGTATACATTTTTTTGAAGCACCCTGTATATAAAACCATATCTTTACCCTTTCATACCATCCCTCCTCCAAATATTGAGATGTAGCTCATCTGAAAGCTCTCTTCATAAACATTCCAACAATCTATGAAACATCTAAATATGAGATAATACATTTATTTGTTGAACACTCATCCCTCATATATTCCTCCCTCAAACCTCATCCCTATAGCTCGCTTATTCTCGAGGAGAGGAAATCTTCAAAAGACACCCCCTGAAAGGAGGTAGTGTCGGATTTTTACCGACTAAAACCCCTCCTCGAACGGGGAGATAAACCCTGAAGATTGCTCACCCTCCCGGGTGGAGAAATGGAAGGTTGGGAATGGGGAGTGAATTGAGATGGGAAGAGGGTTGAGTATGGGGGGAAGGGGGGAAAATCGAAGCTAGAAGTGAGCGAAAGGGAGTGGCATCGTTATGGGGGGGCTTTTAATTAAATCCCACCTTCAATAACGTTCTAAATCACACTAAGATCCGTCCAAAAAAGTCGGTGAAACAAACAATGAAATTTTAATTTTGTTTGGCGGATTTTCAACGAGATGCTTGAATTTGAAATGGGCCTTTAGCGTCTATTCGCAATTGTCCATTTTCAAATAAAACTGAATTTTTGTAATAGTTATACCAATATGGAAAGAACCATTACCTGGTTGGACGGACAATATAAACGGTCCAATGGGTCTGTTAATAGCCGCTGGAAAGGGCGTTTTAAGAACGATGTATTGTGATCAAGATGGATATGCTGATTACCTTCCTGTAGATATTTTAGTCAATGGTTCGATTGTTGTGACGTGGTACTATTTAACGCAAAAGTGAGTTGTACGTTTCAAAGAACAAATAGAAATAAACAATTTATTTTGATCGTTTTCATAGAGTAGATATCCTTAATTTAGAGGATTATATGTGTTATAAATTTGTTCATTCAATTTGGTATATTGTTTTAGACCAAAAACCTATTTTAATTTTACAAGTTCGTCAGAGTATCAGATAACAAATCAAGAGATTATTGAAATAGGTAGGAGAGTTATCGCAACCAGGATGCCTCTGAATGGTGTCGCTTGGTATCCAGGCGGATCTATGAAGAGATCGAGGTTCATACACAACCTTTGTGTTATCTTCTACCATTATCTACCAGCTATTATTTTAGACACTTTTATTTGGTTGAGTGGAAATAAACCAGTGTAAGTATAATTTTGCTTATTAAAGTACAAGCCAATGTTTAGCCCTGTGAACTCTATTAAACGATGACAAGGTAGCATCATCATAAGGTCGTCAGTTCTAAGACTGGTTGGACACGCACCTCCACTCCTTCCTAACTTGATCTAATCTTCGCATTTCCCTAAACCTAGAACAACCCACATCCTTTAACTATTTGCGAACAGTATCTAATCTAGGTCTACCTCTACCCTTCCTAACTTCAGTTTCTTCATCTAATATGTCTCTGACTAGACCTTCATAACTGAGAAGGTGTCCTACCAACCTATCTCGCCTATTTCTTATTGACTTCCATAGAGTCCTCTGTCGTCCGACTCTTTCTAATATCTCTTCATTTCTAGCCTTCTTTATCCACGGTATCCTCATCATTCGCCTCTAACACCACATTTTGAACGCTTCTAATCTTTTATTTTCCGCCGCGCCAACCGTCCATGTTTTGCTCCCTTACAGCGCCGCGTTCTAGACATACCCTATTAAAAATCTTTTTCGAATTTCTAAATTAACCGTTCGCGAGCATAGAAGTGATTTCTTTTTATTGAAGGCGTCACGACTTTGCGCTATCCTCTGCTTGATATCCCTACTACTCCTTCCGTCCTGACTTATCTGACTNATCTTCTACCATTATCTACCAGCTATTATTTTAGACACTTTTATTTGGTTGAGTGGAAATAAACCAGTGTAAGTATAATTTTGCTTATTAAAGTACAAGCCAATGTTTAGCCCTGTGAACTCTATTAAACGATGACAAGGTACCATCATCATAAGGTCGTCAGTCCTAAGACTGGTTGGACACGCACCTCCACTCTTTCCTAACTTGATCTAATCTTCGCATTTCCCTAAAACTAGAACAACCCACATCTTTAACTATTTGCGAACAGTATCTAATCTAGGTCTACCTCTACCCTTCCTAACTCCAGTTTCTGCTTCTAATATGTCTCTGACTAGATCTTCATAGCTGAGAAGGTGTCCTACTAACCGATCTCGTCTATTTCTTATTGACTTCCATAGAGTCCTCTGTTGACCGACTCTTTCTAATATCTCTTCATTTCTAGCCTTCTTTATCCACGGTATCCTCATCATTCGCCTCTAATACCACATTTTGAACGCTTCTAATCTCTTCTTTTCTGCCTCGCCCACTGTCCATGTTTCACACCCGTACAGCGCCGCGCTCCAAACAAACACCTTTAACAATCTATTTCGAATTTCTAAATTAACCGTCAGCGAGCATAGAAGTGACTTCTTTTTATTGAAGGCGTCACGACCCTGCGCTATCCTCTGCTTTATATCCCTACTACTCCTTCCGTCCTGACTTATCTGACTTCCTGGATACCTAAAATCAGCCACTTCTTCTAATTTTTCGTCTCCAATTTTTATATACTCTCTTTCTCTACTCTTTCGTCCCTTGCAAACTGGTATTTTTCTTTTACTTTTATTTATTTTCATACAGTTAAGTGTTTTGTCAGTACCGCATCCATTTTATTTAAAGCTACGTCTAACTCCTACTTGCTAGATGCTAATCTTGCTATATCATCTGCAAATCTAAGCATACTAACCTTTTGCCCCTGTATACCTATCGCTACAGTTGTACTGTCTTTAATGATGTTAATCGCGTCTTCGATGTATAGATTAAAAAGTAGCGGTGACAGTGTGCATCCCTGTCTGACTCCCTTCCTAATATTTACTTCTCTACGTTGCAGCCNTATCGCAACCAGGATGCCTCTGAATGGTGTCGCTTGGTATCCAGGCGGATCTATGAAGAGATCGAGGTTCATACACAACCTTTGTGTTATCTTCTACCATTATCTACCAGCTATTATTTTAGACACTTTTATTTGGTTGAGTGGAAATAAACCAGTGTAAGTATAATTTTGCTTATTAAAGTACAAGCCAATGTTTAGCCCTGTGAACTCTATTAAACGATGACAAGGTAGCATCATCATAAGGTCGTCAGTTCTAAGACTGGTTGGACACGCACCTCCACTCCTTCCTAACTTGATCTAATCTTCGCATTTCCCTAAACCTAGAACAACCCACATCCTTTAACTATTTGCGAACAGTATCTAATCTAGGTCTACCTCTACCCTTCCTAACTTCAGTTTCTTCATCTAATATGTCTCTGACTAGACCTTCATAACTGAGAAGGTGTCCTACCAACCTATCTCGCCTATTTCTTATTGACTTCCATAGAGTCCTCTGTCGTCCGACTCTTTCTAATATCTCTTCATTTCTAGCCTTCTTTATCCACGGTATCCTCATCATTCGCCTCTAACACCACATTTTGAACGCTTCTAATCTTTTATTTTCCGCCGCGCCAACCGTCCATGTTTTGCTCCCTTACAGCGCCGCGTTCTAGACATACCCTATTAAAAATCTTTTTCGAATTTCTAAATTAACCGTTCGCGAGCATAGAAGTGATTTCTTTTTATTGAAGGCGTCACGACTTTGCGCTATCCTCTGCTTGATATCCCTACTACTCCTTCCGCCCTGACTTATCTGACTTCCTAGATACCTAAAATCAGCCACTCTTTCGTCCCTTGCAAACCAGTATTTTTGTTTTACTTTTATGTATTTTCATACAGTACTGTTTTGTCAGTACCGCATCCATTTTATTTAAAGCTATCTCTAACTCCTCCTTGCTAGATGCTAATACTACTATATCATCTGCAAATCTAAGCATATTAATCTTTTGCCCCTGTGTATCTATCCCTACAGTTGTACTATCTTTAATGATGTTAATCGCGTTTTCGATGTATAGATTAAAAAGTAGCGGTGACAGTGTTCATCCCTGTCTGACTCCCTTCCTAATATTTACTTCTCTACGTTGCAGCCCCACCTCTATAACCGCCTGTTACTCTTTATACAAACTAAGTATCACTCTTCTATCTCTGTAACTCATCTGGTTGGACACGCACCTCTACTCATTCCTATCCTGAACTAATTTCCCGAAAACTAGTTAATTAAGAAACAAAGAGTGAATCAGAGAGAAAATGATATTTATGTATTTCTCGCATCTTTTTTTTTGTTGAAGAAGTTATGCAATTGTTTTTTTTTTGTAGTCTATGGCGGGTGCAGCAAAGAATCACCAAGGGTTTTGAAATTTTCGAATATTATGCGAATAATCAGTGGGACTTTGATAACACGGATACGCTCCAATGTCGCGCAATGTTAAACGACTTAGAAACGAAAGAGTTCAAAGTTGACGGAGTCGGAATCGATTTTGACGATTATTTTACAGAGTGTGTCCATTGTGCAAGACTGTACATATTGAATGAAACAGACGATACCATACCAGCGGCAAGACGACATATGATAATGTAAGTAAAACACAGTGAATTTGTTTAGAGATTGGATCTATGCTATCGACATAGTCGGTACGAAATAATCGAGCAGCGCACTGAATTTTGCCGGATCGTCGTGTACCCGGCATTAGCTGTGTTGCGTACCCGGCAGAACTACCTCTATTAATGATTGACGCCTTCGTTTTTTTTCTTTCTTTTGTTCAGCTTATTCTCGAGGAGGGGGAATCTTCGAAAGACACCCACTGAAAGGTGGTAGTGTCGGATTTTTACCGACTAAAACCCCTCCTTGAGCGGAGAGATAAACCGTGAGAGTTTCTCATCCCTGGGGAGAAAATGGAAGGTTGGGAATGGGGAGTGAATTGAGATGGGAAGAGGGTTGAGTACGGGGGGAAGGGGGGAAAATCGAAGCTAGAAGTGAGCGAAAGGGAGTGGCATCGTTATGGGGGGCTTTTAATTAAATCCGACCTTCAATAACGTTCTAAATCACACTAAGATCCGTTCAAAAAGTCGGTGAAACAAACAATGAAATTTTAATTTTGTTTGGCGGATTTTCAACGAGATGCTTGAATTTGAAATAGGCCTTTATGTTTATAAACAATAAAAATTTGCAAGGTGCCAAAATCGAAGCCTGACATATCAACAAGCGCCAGAAATTGTAACAATTCGATCATTCTAACGTATCAATTAATTGTCTCTTACACATTGATAGATTCAGTATCATTTAATGTGAGTTATGATTAGAAATCAGTGAGGTATTTGACCTTAAATTCTATTTAACTGAAAAGATACAATAATGTGAATATAATTAAGATTAACCGTCTTTTTTAACAATCCTGATAATTAATTTAATTGATTTTATTGTTTCCTTTTTATTTATTTTAGTTTTTTTGTTTTGTTACAGAATGTGGGCAGTTGACAAGCTATGCAAAATGTTTTTATTATTTTTAGCAGGGTATCTAATGTTAAAATACGTAGTTTTTCCAATTTTTGTTTAGTTTCATACTAATTGTTTATTAGAAACCTATTACTTTTAAATTTTATTGTTAACGTTTTATTATTTTTGTTATATGTGTTGTATTCTCAATTCAATAAAGGAAAAGTAATCGATTTGCTCAAAGCGCGTGATTGTGGGTAATATACATATGTATGTGGATCATTATTTTAATTAATTCGATGAATACGACTACTTTTTTTGTTAATTATTTAATCAATAGTAAATCATTATTAAAAGTGATATGA